CGAGGAGAGGCTGGGTAACAGGGAGGATGCCGAGAGGGAGGTCCGAAGGGGAGTGGGCCAGTGGATGAGCCCAGCCGAACGGAGGACGAGGGTGAGTGTACCTGGGAGGGAAACAGACAGAGAGACAAGGTTAGGGGGAGACAATGACAAGGCACAGGGTAAGTTTGAAAAAACAAGAAACGAGGAAGCCTGAACACAGGAGTGGCACCAGGAATGGAGCAACGACGATCAAGCAAGGATGGTGTGGAGAACCGGGGTTGAAATACAGGCTGGGATGAGGTTGATTACTGGCAGGTGTGGCAGGCTGACGAGGTGGATGATGGGTTGCAGGTGCAGGTAGTTGGCTGGGCTCAGGAGCAGAGGGAGAGAGAGCACACGGGGGAGAAAACACAGAGAGGCGGGCAGAGAACAGGAAACCAAGGGAAAAAACAGAAAAACTGATAAAAAGTAGAAAAAACCAGGACACTCACCGTCAGCCGGGCTGCCACCACAACAGGGCCCCCTCCTCAATGGACGCCTCCCGGCGGCCTTCCTATAGGACAGGGGGTTTGGCAGGTGAACACGGGGGGGGAAGATGTACTGGGGTCCGGCTGATGGGGGTCCAGGGTCCAAAACCAAACTGGGAATTCAGGGAGGGCTTCAGGACAGGGAAGGGTTAGGGGAACGGGCAGGGCGGAACTGAAAACTCAGGGCTAGACAGGGTGCCAGAGGGCAGTGCTGGGGGACCAGGGAGTTCAGACGGGGTGCCAGAGGGCGGAGCTGGGGGACCAAGGGGTTCGGGCGGACGTCCCAGAGGGCGGAGCTGGGGGACCAAGGGGTTCGGGCGGACGTCCCGAGGGCGGAGCTGGGGGACCAAGGGGTTCGGGCGGACGTCCCGAGGGCGGAGCTGGGGGACCAAGGGGTTCGGGCGGACGTCCCGAGGGCGGAGCTGGGGGACCAAGGGGTTCGGGCGGACGTCCCGAGGGCGGAGCTGGGGGACCAAGGGGTTCGGGCGGACGTCCCGAGGGCGGAGCTGGGGGACCAAGGGGTTCGGGCGGACGTCCCGAGGGCGGAGCTGGGGGACCAAGGGGTTCGGGCGGACGTCCCGAGGGCGGAGCTGGGGGAGCTGGGGGACCAAGGGGTTCGGGCGGACGTCCCGAGGGCGGAGCTGGGGGACCAAGGGGTTCGGGCGGACGTCCCGAGGGCGGAACAGAGGGACCATGAGGGTCCGGTGGAACAGGGGAGCCAGGTTGGTCCGACGGGCAGCCCGAGGGCGGACAGGGGGAGCCAGGAAGTTCAGGGGAGCAGGGTTGGTCCGACGGGCAGCCCGAGGGCGGACAGGGGGAGCCAGGAAGTTCAGGGGGGCAAGTCGAATGCAGAGCAGGAGAGCCAGGAGGGTCCGGCGGGACAGGGGAGCCAGGAGGGTCCGGCGGGACAGGGGAGCCAGGAGGGTCCGGCGGACCAGGGGAGCCAGGAGGGTCCGGCGGACCAGGGGAGCCAGGAGGGTCCGGCGGGCGGCCCGAGGGCGGACCAGGGGAGTCAGGAGGGTCCGGCGGGCGGCCCGAGGGCGGACCAGGGGAGTCAGGAGGGTCCGGCGGGCGGCCCGAGGGCGGACAGGGGGAGCCAGGAAGTTCAGGGGGGCAAGTCGAATGCAGAGCAGGAGAGCCAGGAGGGTCCGGCGGGACAGGGGAGCCCGAGGGCAGACCAGGGGAGCCAGGAGGGTCCGGCGGGCGGCCCGAGGACGGACCAGGGGAGCCAGGAGGGTCCGGGGGGCGGCCCGAGGACGGACCAGGGGAGCCAGGAGGGTCCGGCGGGCGGCCCGAGGGCGGACCAGGGGAGCCAGAGGGCGGACCAGGGAAGCCAGGGGGGTCCGGCGGGCGGCCCGAGGGCGGACCAGGGGATCCAGGAGGGTCCGGCGGACCAGGGGTGCCCGGCGGGCGGCCCGAGGGCTGGGCTAGGGGGCGAGACGACCTCTCCAGAGGCCGGGGAGCAAGGCGAGACAAGCCAGAGAGTTCGGGCGGGCGGCCCGAGGGGCGGGCTAGGGGGCGAGACGACCTCTCCAGAGGCCGGGGAGCTGGGCGTGGCGACCTCTCCAGAGGCCGGGGAACCGGGCAGGGAGCCGGACGTGGCGACTTCACCAGAGGCCGGGGAGCCGGGCAGGGAGCCGGACGTGGCGACCTCACCAGAGGCCGGGGAGCCGGGCAGGGAGCCGGACGTGGCGACCTCACCAGAGGCCGGGGAGCCGGGCGTGGCGACCTCACCAGAGGCCGGGGGGCCGGGCGTGGCGACCTCACCAGAGGCCGGGGGGCCGGGCGTGGCGGCCGGGGAGCAAGGCGAGACCGGCCAGCGAGTTCGGGCGGGCGGCCCAAAGGACGGGCTAGGGGTCGAGACCACCTCTCCTGAGGCCGGGGAGCCAGGCGTGGCGACCTCTCCAGAGGCCGGGGAGCCGGGCAGGGAGCCAGGCACGGAGCCGGGCACGGCGACCTCTCCAGAGGCCGGGGAGCCGGGCGTGGCGGCCGGGAAGCCGGGCGTGGCGGCCTCTCCAGAGGTCGGGGAGCAAGGCGGGACAGGCCAGAGAGTTCGGGCGGGCGGCCCGAGGGACGGGCTAGGGAGCGAGGCGGCCTCTCCAGAGGCCGGGGAGCCGGGCGTGGGGCTGGCAGCGCGACAGCAGCGGGGGGAGTCAGGGATGAGGCTGCAGGGCTGAGGGCCTCGGTGCGAGGAACAGAGGTCGGCCGGACCACCGGCGGGGCTGAAGCCGGTCCGTCCGCCAACAGAACACGAGGAGCAGGGGTCGGCCGGACCACCGGCGGGGCTGAAGCCGGTCCGTCCGCCAACAGAACACGAGGAGCAGGGGTCGGCCGGACCACCGGCGGGGCTGAAGCCGGTCCGTCCGCCAACAGAACACGAGGAGCAGGGGTCGGCCGGACCACCGGCGGGGCTGAAGCCGGTCCGTCCGCCAAAAGAACACGAGGAGCAGGGGTCGGCCGGACCACCGGCGGGGCTGAAGCCGGTCCGTCCGCCAACAGAACACGAGGAGCAGGGGTCGGCCGGACCACCGGCGGGGCTGAAGCCGGTCCGTCCGCCAACAGAACACGAGGAGCAGGGGTCGGCCGGACCACCGGCGGGGTTGAAGACGGTCCGTCCGCCAACAGAACACGAGGAGCAGGGGTCGGCCGGACCACCGGCGGGGCTGAAGCCGGTCCGTCCGCCAACAGAACACGAGGAGCAGGGGTCGGCCGGACCACCGGCGGGGCTGAAGCCGGTCCGTCCGCCAACAGAACACGAGGAGCAGGGGTCGGCCGGACCACCGGCGGGGCTGAAGCCGGTCCGTCCGCCAACAGAACACGAGGAGCAGGGGTCGGCCGGACCACCGGCGGGGCTGAAGCCGGTCCGTCCGCCAACAGAACACGGGGACTAGTGGCCCTAAGGGGCAAGGGATCGGGGGGGGCAGGCTGGAGGCTGGCGGCGCTAGCAGGCCGTGGGACTGGGCCAGGCAGGGGGCTAGCGGCGCTAGCAGGCCGAGGGACTGGGCCAGGCAGGGGGCTAGCGGCGCTAGCAGGCCGAGGGACTGGGCCAGGCAGGGGGCTAGCGGCGCTAGCAGGCCGAGGGACTGGGCCAGGCAGGGGGCTAGCGGCGCTAGCAGGCCGAGGGACTGGGCCAGGCAGGGGGCTAGCGGCGCTAGCAGGCCGAGGGACTGGGCCAGGCAGGGGGCTAGCGGCGCTAGCAGGCCGAGGGACTGGGCCTGGCTGGGGGCTAGCGGCGCTAGCAGGCTGAGGGACTGGGCCTGGCTGGGGGCTAACTGGCTGGGGATCTAGGGAGAGTGGTGCAAATTGGCGGGAGCCATGATGGCCACGTCTCCTCCGATGGCCACCACGGCCCCCAGAGAAGATGGCCAGGCGGGTTCCCTCGAACTGAAGACGGGGGTCGGGTGAACACGGAGAACAACCGGCAGGCCGGGGAACGCTCGGGACAGGCTGGTGGCTAGCAAGCCGGGGATCTGGACCAAATTGGGGGCAAGCCGGTTGGGGACCAGGAGGGATAGGTGTGAACGGCAGAGGGCTGGAGTCAACAAAATGTCTGGCCCACTTAGGCAGCCGACGCCGCAGCCATGGCCTTACAGCTATCTCCCAGTGAGCCAGAACGTGGGCAGCTTGGCGAGACTCGGGGTCAGATGCCAACTGCCACGTAGACCACAGCTCTGCCAAGACATCCAAGAGCATGTCCCTCTCCGCTTTTGAGCCTGCTGGGTCCATGGGTGGCTTGATCGTTCTGTTACGGGGTGTGGTGTGTGGACAGAGAGGACCCAAATGCAGCGTTCAGAGGGAAGGAGGTTTATTGGGGGAAAAAGGGTGAGAGGGACTGGAGTGGAGGGAGAGGAGGACGTCGGGGAAGTACTGGCACGGGGAACCAAGGAGACCGGGGGCCAGGGAGCCGGGGAACACAGGGGCCAAGGAAGCGAGGAGAGGCTGGGTAACAGGGAGGATGCCGAGAGGGAGGTCCGAAGGGGAGTGGGCCAGTGGATGAGCCCAGCCGAACGGAGGACGAGGGTGAGTGTACCTGGGAGGGAAACAGATAGAGAGACAAGGTTAGGGGGAGACAATGACAAGGCACAGGGTAAGTTTGAAAAAACAAGAAACGAGGAAGCCTGAACACAGGAGTGGCACCAGGAATGGAGCAACGACGATCAAGCAAGGATGGTGTGGAGAACCGGGGTTGAAATACAGGCTGGGATGAGGTTGATTACTGGCAGGTGTGGCAGGCTGACGAGGTGGATGATGGGTTGCAGGTGCAGGTAGTTGGCTGGGCTCAGGAGCAGAGGGAGAGAGAGCACACGGGGGAGAAAACACAGAGAGGCGGGCAGAGAACAGGAAACCAAGGGAAAAAACTGAAAAACTGATAAAAAGTAGAAAAAACCAGGACACTCACCGTCAGCCGGGCTGCCACCACAACAGCTGGGCCTTCATTTCAGGTTGCACTCTGTATGTCTGTCTGACCCTTCAGAATAAAACCCTTAAAAGACGTCTGGATTGGACTCTTTATTTCAGAAGACTCACTAAAGGACAGATTTCCATTTCAACAAACATGCACATATGTTGTTTTGGGTTATTTTGTTTTCATTTAATAAATATTTTGTATTTATTTAATATTTTGCACACTGTTCCACAGTTTGTTTTTCCATTTCAGACACTGAGACCTGTTGTTTCTGTTCAGAGTGATTCAGAACAGTCATGTACCCTTATAGTGATACTCATTCCTAGTCTGAGCTCGTGTTACAGACAGAAAGCTGCTGACAATTTTATCCAACTATTTCTGCTTGAAATGTAATTTTTCTAGTTTTTTATTTTGCTGTATAAAATTTGTTTTGTAAATGTGTTCACACAGATATTTAGTAGATTAGATTAATCTATATTGTCATTACACACAGTCAGTTCCTGAATACGGTATCTAAGGAGACAGCAGAAAGATAAACTCACAAAAGTGAAATGACCGTACTAGTGGGCCAACTGGGATTACTTGTTCATGGAAGAATGTGAAAACACCTGCACCTTGATGACAGATGTGTAGCTGTCGGACATGGTGGCTCTGATGGTGACAGCTTTGCCTTTGTAAGTCAGACTGTCTTTAGCTTTACGTCTGACAAAATCTATCTCTGCCTCATTATACATCATGTTATAAAGGTTGTAATCACACTCTATATTCATACTAAAGACTCCCACTGCGTACAAGTTAGAGTACTGGTTGTAGTTATAAGGAACAGAGTACATGACGGCCATTTTTCCATCAGATTCCTCTGTGGATTTGTTCTGCAGCTCATAGGTGAGGACGCCAACAGCTCCATATGTTGTGTTTGGAGTATTGATGAACAGAGCGCTGCAAGATTCAGAGGGACCAAGAGTTGGTGACAAAGGGTTCTCATAGGATCCACCATAAGTGAACACCCTGAGGAGACAGAGAGAAGAGACGTCACGACTTTAACACTGTGTGAACAAACACTGGAAGCAGGGGAAAACTGTTAGCTTAGTTCTATTAAAAGGGAAACGTGTAGCCGTTAGCAACTGATCTCAATCCTCTCATAAAAACATTTAGCAAAGGTTTAAAGACACTCAGAGAGAAACTAAAGCAGACTTACTTCGGGTTACACAGGGTGTACTCAGAGCACTTATTCTCAATCTCAACGGTGCACTGGCGGTTTCCCATGATGTCTTCTGCCTGCAGAGGGAGACAGAGCAGCAGACAGACTGTTCAGACTTCATGTGAGTAAATCCCTGTACTGACTCTGTTCTGTCAGATTTACTGCCATCTGCAACCCTCCAAATGGGAATGTTAGTCTTCTGGGAAAAGCATTTAGCCTAGTCCCAAAGGACACGGCCACATCCTAAATCACGATGTCTTGAAACCAGCTGAGAACTTTAAATTGAGCCAAACTCTGTGAAGCACTTGGTATTTTGCCTTTAATATAGATAGATTAATATAGATGTATTAATGTGACCTTATTCAAACATTCAATACTTCTAAAGAATATATAGGATCGGGGGGGAACTGATGAAGATGAAGCCCATGAGTCCGTCATGCTGCTGGACAGCCTCTCAGTGAGCAGAACGTCCTACCTGCTGTGGAGTGATGAAGAGAAAAGGCCGTGTGTTGTGTTCATCGTTTACAACAGTGGCTGATGTAACGGTGTGACAGTGATTTAGCAGCAGGATACACAAGTACACTATATTGTACTGTGGTTGTGTTTATTGTTGTGGTCTGATAAATATATTTGTTACTGCTGGCTGTAATGCAAATTGCCCCTCGGGGATGATAAACTTACCTTACAGCCTTTGCGGAAGTCTTTTATTGACCAACCTGCCCCCTAATTGGATATCAGTTACTGATTGGACGTCTTCAAAATGAAGACAGATAACAGATGAAACTCAAGTGTATCACCAAGTTTTATTTAATTTGTAGTAAATTAGTAAAGAGTCAGACTAAACAAGACACTAAACTGCACTAAACCCATTCAGCCGATCTCACCGACTGCATCTGATGAAAGCAGCGGCGGCGCCTTGAGTAAAATCTGAAAAGCTGATTAATAAAAATGCTGGACTGAAATCACACCTTCACGTGCTGGTTCTGTCAGTCCAAAACTCAAAGTAATTAAAATGACATTAACATAATCGAAAGGCAAAGCAGCAAATCTTTTTACATGAATAGCTGCCGTGGCTTTTTTCCTGCGGTTCCAGAGACCTCTCTTTGTCTGTTTTAAGAGGAATCTAAATCCGCACTTCCTACTGGTTGCACTAACAGAGTTCCCCTTCGAGGGAACTCGAACTGCGTCGGTTACGACACTATGGGAACGCCTCTAGGCGAAGCAGGTCTGAACGTGAATGAAATCACTCCAATCCTATTGGCTTGTTGCTAGAACGGTAAGGTGTGACGGAATAACCGGAGGAGTATAAAGCACACCTGTACACACTCATCATTAGCTTTTTTCTATTCAGCAGGCGCTCTGTATGTTGTCGAAGAAAGCTCCAGTCCTACAAGCAGCGAAATGTCTTACCCGAGGAAGAAGTCTACCAGCATGTCCGGCAATCAGAGGTACAGAAGGTGTGTTTTTTCTTGCCCTCGGTACATCACGGATGGAGATTCACATGAGATGTGTGTCTCATGTTTGGGGATGGAGCACGCCCGGTCAGCTCTCGAGGGGGCTGCCTGCGGCCATTGCGAAACCCTTTCCGTGCGGGTACTGAGGTCCCGCATGGCTCTCTTTTCTGAGGACGGCCGGATGTGTTCTCCCCGTGGTGCGGGCCCTGCGGCCACTGAGGCGGCCCGGCGGCTTCACTCATGGGTTCACAGCGTGATCTGTCGGAGGATTTCGGGACGGCTGAGGCTTTTTCCCGACCTTCACCCGCTGGCTCCGACGCTTCCTTCCCTCGTTCAGGAGCCCGTTTCTCGGCTTCTCCCGCTCGCGGGTTGGATCCGGAGACGCTGCAGCAATCCGACTCCGAGGAGGTGGACGTGCTCGGCGTAATGGACGATGACTTCCGGGTGTCGGGGCAACGTCATCAGGCTGCGCCCGACTATGACGAGCTGCTGGAGGTGGTGACTAGAGCCGTGGCTAAGCTCGACATCGACTGGCCACAGGAGGAGCAGACACCACAGGCCAGTGGGAAGCTTGATGAAAGGTTTCTTAAGCACCACGCACCACCTCCACGCCGATCTCTGCCTTTTTTTCCTGATTTACATGATGAACTGAGTAAATCATGGGGCAGACCCTTCTCTACACGGCTTTCCACACCCCGATCACTTAATTACAGCAATGTGATGGGGGTTAGGGACCGTGGTTAAGGGAGGATGCCTCGGGTGGAGGATGCGCTTGCGAGCTATCTCTCCCCTCGACTTGCGTCCTCCCTGGAGAAGCCGGCGTTACCCTCCAAGCCATGTCGCACCACATCCACGCTCGTGGGGAAGGCATACATGGCAGCGGGCCAGGCAGGTGCGAGCTTGCACACCATGGCGGTGCTTCAAGCCTACCAAGCCGACCTGCTTCAGGAGATGGTTCAGAGGGGGGGTCCCTCTGAGGAAGATCTGGCGGAACTTCGCAGAACCACAGACCTGTCTCTCCGGGCCACCAAGGAAACGGCCCGCTCTATTGGTCGATCCATGTCAGTTCTGGTGGCCACGGAGCGTCACCTATGGCTCAACCTCGCGGGCATGTCAGAGAGGGATAAGAGCTGCCTCCTCGATGCACCGGTGAGCACGGCGGGCCTCTTCGGTGACGCGGTGGACTCGGTGGTGGATCGGTTCCAGCACGTTAAGACGAAAGGCGAAGCGTTCCGCCAGTACCTCCCTCGCCGGTCTGCACCCCAGGCAGCTGAGGCTGCCGGGCGTAGATCCCTTCCCTCTATGAGCTCCTACCGAGAGGAGAGGAAGCAGAGTGTCGCTTCTCGGGGGCCCCCCCGAGGGGCTGGGGCAGCGAGGCGACGCTCTCAACATCAGCCTTCTGTGAGACGCGATCTGAGGACCGTCATCCAGTCCCGACGGAGCTCAGGGAAGAGGTCCTGAAGACCAGGGTAGGGGAGTTTTTTTTCTCCCCTCCCGCACCCCCCCCACCCCCTCCGGAGGCCGACCGAGGTCCCCTCCGCCGTGGCAACAGGTGATGTTATCCCGCCGTTTACACGTTCAGGGCGCACCTGCCACCAACGAGTCCGCACCGTACTGCCTGCCCCGAGGGTCTGCAGGCGGACGGCATCCCGACTCACCCACCGTGGATCTTTGGCGGCTCCCCCCTGCCGTTCTGGGGCTTCAGGGGTCCACCAGAAGATCACACGAGACACCGACCACCAGCCCCGAGGGGCTGGTTCCGTTGGCAGACTCTGCAGACGCTTGGCGGAGCCTGACGAACATTTCTCCGTGGGTCCTGCGCACTGCCATAGATGGGTATCGACTACAGTTCAGAACCCGCCCTCCAAAATTCAACGGGGTGGTTTGGACTGTGGTCCGCCTGGAGCAAGGTCCGGTGTTGGGACAGGAAGTTCAGACTCTGCTGAGGAAAGGGGCCGTGGAACGTGTCTCCCCCCCAGACAGAGACGCCGGCTTCTACAGTCGGTACTTCATAGTCCCCAAGAAGGACGGAGGGCTGCGCCCTATTTTGGATCTGCGGGTTCTAAACCGGTCTCTGAGGAGATTCAGGTTCAAGATGCTCACCATCCCCGCCATCGTGTCGCACATCCAATCCGAGGATTGGTTCGTCACGATAGATCTACAGGACGCCTATTTCCACGTCTCCATCCGTCCTTCTCACAGGAAGTTCCTGAGGTTCGCCTTCGGGGGTGTGGCTTACCAGTATCGGGTTCTTCCATTCGGCCTGGCACTTTCCCCTCGCACATTCACCAAGTGTATGGATGCAGCACTGGCCCCGCTGAGGCTCCGGGGCATCCGGATTCTCAACTATATCGACGACTGGCTCATCCTGGCCCAGTCTCGAGAGTTGGCGGTTCGGCATCGAGATGTCGTTCTGGCTCATCTGCGGCGTTTAGGGCTGAGGCTCAACGCAAAGAAGAGCGTGCTGGCGCCCACCCAACGGACTACGTTCCTAGGGGTTGTATGGGATTCGACAACGATGCGGGCACAATTGTCTCCGGCACGTGTCGACACCATATTGGCCGCCGTGAGAGGGGTGAAGTTAGGCCACGCCGTCACTATGAAACACTTTCAACGAGTGTTGGGTCTCCTGGCAGCTGCGTCCAGCGTAATACCATCTGGACTACTGCACATGAGACCCCTGCAGTGGTGGCTAAGGAACAAGGGTTTTTCCCCGAGGGGAAATCCTCTCCATCTGATTTGGGTTACGCGCAAGTGTCTTCGTTCCCTATCAGTTTGGAAGGAAACTTGGTTCCTGTCCCAGGGGCCCGTGCTGGGAGGGTCTTGTCGCCGGCTGGTTATTTCGACAGACGCCTCCCTCACGGGCTGGGGCGCGGTCATGGACGGCCGCTTTGCAAGGGGATCCTGGCAGGTGCATCGATCCGAGTGGCATATCAACTGTCTCGAGATGTTGGCAGTGTTCCAGGCTCTAAGGAGTTTCCTGCCCGATCTCCAAGGCCACCACCGCAGTGTTGTCGGAACGAACCAGGACGTGGTGGCCTATCTGAATCACCAGGGCGGTCTGCGCTCGCGCCCTCTGGACAGACTGGCGCGTCAGATCCTCCTGTGGTCCCAGCAGAGGTTACTGTCGCTCAGGGCGATGTATCTCCCGGGGACGCAGAATCAGGGAGCAGACCTGCTGTCGAGGCAGGGGCTGAGGCCCGGGGAATGGAGACTTCACCCCGAAGTGGTGGAGCTCTTGTGCGAAGAGTTCGGCCCCATAGACGTGGATCTGTTTGCGTCTCAAGAGACTACGCACTGCCCGCTATGGTTTTCTCTCGTTCCTCCAGCCCCGTTGGGTCTGGACGCCATGGTACATTCGTGGCCGAGGCTACGTCTGTACGCTTTTCCCCCAGTTGCTCTGCTCCCGGGGGTTCTGGAGCGGGTCCGCCAGGACAATGTCGGCCTACTGCTCGTAGCCCCGTTCTGGCCAACCCGGGTGTGGTTCTCGGACATCATGTCGCTCCTGGACGGCCCGCCGTGGCGGGTCCCTCTGAGGAGAGACCTGCTGTCCCAGGCGCAGGGCCGGGTTCTTCACCCTTGCCCCGCCATATGGCGACTATGGGTCTGGCCCCTGAGGGGGCACAGTACCTAGTGGCGGGTCTGACAGCTGGAGAGCACTGAGTATTTACACTCTGAGGTCCTCCCGTTGGAGGAAGGCTGACCAGCTGCTAGTATGTTTTGGGTCTCCCAGGGCCGGGCTCCCTGCATCCAAACATACGATTAGCAACTGGATTGTTCAGACTATTTCCCTGGCCTATCAGATGCGCGGTTTGCCTTCACCTGTGGCTGTGAGGGCTCATTCTACCAGAGGCATGGCGGCCTCTCGAGCCCTCCTTTCCGGGGCCTCTTTGCAGGATGTTTGTTTAGCGGCTGGCTGGGCCACTCTGCACACATTCATTCGGTTTTACAGTCTTGACCTTCCTTCGGCACCTGGCACTCGTGCGCTCTCCTCTTAGTCGTGCCACTTTATTGCACACAGGGGCAGGCGGGGTTTTCGGCACGGTTTAGTGGGTATCTCGTTCCCATAGTGTCGTAACCGACGCAGTTCGAGTTCCCTCGAAGGGGAACGTCTCGGGTTACGTATGTAACCCTGGTTCCCCGAGAAGGGGAACGAGAGACTGCGTCGGCCCGCCGCACCTCTCTCCCCGCCTGAAGCGCCTGCTTCATAGTTTAAGCTAATGATGAGTGTGTACAGGTGTGCTTTATACTCCTCCGGTTATTCCGTCACACCTTACCGTTCTAGCAACAAGCCAATAGGATTGGAGTGATTTCATTCACGTTCAGACCTGCTTCGCCTAGAGGCGTTCCCATAGTGTCGTAACCGACGCAGTCTCTCGTTCCCCTTCTCGGGGAACAAGGGTTACATACGTAACCCGAGACGTTAGTGAATCTGAGAAACCACACACACAACCATTCATTTGACGACTTAGCAGCTAGAATACTGTTCCCCAGAATGTAACAAGCAAAACCATTAATCTTTCCCCATGAGGGATTACACAACTCCTAAGGTGTTTCCTGTTTGCTAGTACTTTCCTTTAAGGTTATAACAGTTCCTATACCATATGTTTCTGTAAGTGAACGTGAGAATAAATGATCAACCTAGATGACATAGATTACAGTCTTTGTGAGGTTTTACTTTAATACACAGCACACACTCTAAATCAGAACTGAGTGCGCTAGCCACGTCACAGCAAGTCAGCTTGGCCAAATGTTCAGGCATCATCTAGTAGTGTGTAAAGAATGTTGTTGTTATTAAAAACTGTTTAAAAGTTCACTTCTGCTGCGACCAGAGCAAATTGCACATACACATATAGACAGAGTCCTGATGTTTCCAGATATGGTGTATTTCTGTCATTTCATAAAGTATTTTTTAAATCATCATTGTTTCTAAAGATTGTCCAGAGTTGCAACGTTACTGGGCGCTTCCTCATAGCCAAGTAAATTCTGCCAATCAACTAACTATCGTTTCAGCAGTACTAAAAATAATCTAATATATTGGGGAGTATAATTTACAGATGTTCCGATTACCGAGTCAGGTACTCATGCTGTGGGTATCGGCTGATAACGAGTACTGATACCGATACCAGTGTGTTAAAAAAAAGAAAAAGATCGTACTACGCCTGCATGACTGTGATATGATTATCATTGTCATTATCATTGGAACAACTCCAGTTTAATTTAACTTAAATAAATTGAACAAAAGATATTTCTTCATATGATTTGTGTGTAAAAAGCTTAATTTGTAAAGTAACTGAAGCTGTCAGATAAATGTAGAGAAGTAAAAAAGTACAACATCTCCCACTGAGATGGAGCAGAATTAGAAAGTAAAAAAGTACATACCTTTAATCTACTACTAAGTACAGTACATGAGTAAATGTACTAGTTACTGTCCACCACTGGCTCCAAGAACAGAAATGTTCCCCCTCGCACTAGGCTTCTCCTCTGCCTCAGGTTCCTGTCCTAACACCTCTACAGCTGCTCCCTCTCTTGAGGAACAGAGATTAGCATTCCTGACATTTTAGAGACTTGTTAGAAAACAAGGGGCCTTACTGAAATGTTGTGAAGGAAGCCTTGGATGAGGGGATGAAAGGATCAGGTCCAGAGAATCATCAACCTTTTATTTAGCAAAGCTTAAAAACATACAAAGCCTACGTCCAGAAACACTTTGAGATAGAAGAGAATAAAAAGAAAGAAACCAAACAGAATTCCTGAGTCTGAAAAGGCTGCAGAAATGTAAAGGCTGACAAAAGGTCTGAGTAAAAAGGAAAAGAGCTCTGAAAGACCTAGAAGGTCCAAAAAAAGTTTTAAAGTTTTAAAAACCTTTGTACGGCAGAGCTGAAATTGATAGTTTATCTATTACAACATATGGATGTAATTTTTATAATGTATAGTGATGCAAGGACACATGAAGAAACCCGGGACTCAGTTTAGCTTCTCTATGACTCTTAAAGGTCCTGGCAAACACTTTACAGACTCCACCCACCCTCTCTTTCCACCACACCAGACTCCGGGATTTTGGAAACAGAGCCTTCAGCGTCGCAGCCCCCCCCCTCTGGAACTCCATCTGAAATGCTCCCTCTCTGCAAACCTTCAAAAATCTACTAAACCCCAGCTCTTTACCAAGACATTCAATCCTGAATGACTTTTTGTTGTTCTGTGTCTGTAGTGTATTACGTGTAAGGGTCCCTGGGTCCTCTGAAAGGCGTTCTAAAAATAGAAGTTATTATTATTATAAGTCTTCAAACAGCCCTTTGAAAATGTTCTCACTCTGTTAGTAAAAATTTTGTTCCTGTCCTTGGAAATGCTGGAAAAGATAGGGAAGCAGAAGATTAGGAATAATAATAAAAGGATAACAAGTTTCTAGGTCCAGATTTTGTTATTGTGAAGCATTTACTGTAAAGGGGGTTTTTACCAAATCTACCAAAAAGCAGGGCTTCTACAAAAAAAAACAGACGGGGACAAACAAAAGGAAGAAGCTGAATCAAAGAGAGGAGGAACATCAGATGCAGATGATAGAAACTCTCATCTTCAGATCTTGGTAGTGATGTCTGTGACGTCTCTTATGCTCTATGTTCTTTTGTTCTGTTTCTCTCTATCTGCTGTACTGAGCTCTCTCTGGACCTCAGGGAGACAAACTTATCAAATAAAGGTGGTGTATATATAAGAAGGAATAATCCAACAGAGTTCCACAGACTTGAAGTCTTGAAGCTGTACTGGATGCTCGTGGTGGCCTGACTCTACTGAGACACTTCATGCTGCAGCCAGACCTACAACAGGAGAACAAGGTTTACTAAAGGTCAGAGGTCAGCAGGTTAACTTTGTATTCAAATATATAAACAGTTAGTGGAAAATATCTAACTGAGCTTTCAGCAGCATCTCATGGTGTTCATCAGTAAATGGAGTTGGCTCAGGTGTCATCATGTGACCTACAGGTACATCTCCCCCCATATACAAGCAGCTATTACCATGGGACTGAGGGTCTGTACCTCACATGACCACACCTGAAGCATCTCCAGAACTACCAAGCAAACGCCATGAGCTGATGAAGACCATGAGAAGTGGCTGAAAGCTCTGGGAGTCAGGAGTCCAACCAGTCCCAGGTTGTAGTTCAGTACAGACCTGCTGACTGGATCAGACACAGTCTGGTTCCAGTCTGTTCAGATCAGGTGAGTCTGACAGCTTTCATACCTGTTTGATTCCTGCGGAGCAACAGGACTCAGACCAGGACCAGAACCAGAAGAACCAGAAGAACCAGAGAACCCACAGGTAGTCCAACTGTTAGGAGGGGAGAGGAGAGAGGGGGGGAGGCTGAAGGAGGAGAAAAAGGAGGAGAAGGAGACGGAGAGCTAAGAAAAGGAGGAGAAGTACTGGAAGGAGGAGGGGCAGCAGGACCTGGAAGGAAAATCAGTAGAACCTGGATCAATGCAGTGATCAGTTTATTATCAGGTCAGCAGGTTAGTTCATGTCATATAAACAGGAAGTGATGTCAGTGTCCTGACCTCTGACACTCAGCCATATCCGAGGAGATTCAGCAGTCTTATCAAAATAACACCAGTAGAGACCTTCATCAGACTGACTGATGTTCCTGATGGTAAACTGTCCTTCAGGTCCAGATCCAAGTTTAGAACCATCCCTGATGAAAAAGGCTTCGAGTGCGACCTGATCTTTGGTTCTACAGCGCAGAGTGACATCACTTCCTGCCACCACAGGAAGTGCAGGAATCTCCAGAATAACCTGAGAATCTGAAGAAGAAGAAAACAGAGTTAGTCCATCAGACCAGAACCTGGAGGAAAGATCAGTAGAACCTGGATCAATGCAGTGATCAGTTTATTATCAGGTCAGCAGGTTAGTTCATGTCATATAAACAGGAAGTGATGTCAGTGTCCTGACCTCTGACACTCAGCCATCTCCGAGGAGATTCTTCAGTCTGATCAAAATAACACCAGTAGAGACCTTCATCAGACTGTTGGAAGTTCCTGATGGTAAACTGTCCTTCAGGTCCAGATCCAAGTTTAGAACCATCCCTGATGAAAAAGGCTTCGAGTGCGACCTGATCTTTGGTTCTACAGCGCAGAGTGACATCACTTCCTGCCATCACAGGAAGAGCATAAATCTCCAGAGTAACCTGAGCATCATCATCTGAAGAAAGAAAACAGAGTTAGTCCATCAGACCAGAACCATATTCAGAGTTAGACCTGTCAGACCAGGGCCTCATTTCTAAACGTAGCGTGCAGATAAAAGACGGCGTTCTCCACTTTCTAAGCAAACTTTGGGATTTCTAAAAAACGTGCGGTCCTCCACGGTAACTCTTAAATGAATAGAAAACATTTGAGTGACAGATCTTTCAGAGTCCAGCTTCTGTCACACAAGACAAGTCTTATTTCCTTTAAGTCCTCGGCAGCCTCGTTAATTCAGTCGATGGAGTCTCTGCGTTCAGGACTTCATCTGCACGGCCCCTTGAGCAGGAGGTTCAGCGGAGCTTTAGCTTTTCTCTCCCAGTTTGCCGTCTTTATCTTCATGCAGTCAGCATGTATTAATATTAATTATTATTTCTAGGCAGCTATGGCCGTTAAAAGGGCGGGACAAGGAGCTGCTCACCTGGGCCACATTTTGAACTGATTGTATTCATAAAGGGAAATCAGCGCGGGACGTATGGACTGTTAAACATCTGAAGATTTAAACCCTTTCTGTTTTGATCTGTACGCAAACGTCTGACTTTAATCCTACGTAAAGTTTAATAAATGAGGCCCCAGAGTCATAAACAGACAGTTAGATCCTGACCTCATACAGGAGGCAGACTTCACGCTGCCATAACCACCACCTCTCCTACCGCTAACACACAGTAACAGTCATATCATATAAACAGGAAGTGATGTCAGTGTCCTGACCTCTGACACTCAGCCATATCCGAGGAGATTCAGCAGTCTGATCAAAATAACACCAGTAGAGACCTTCATCAGACTGACTGATGTTCCTGATGGTAAACTGTCCTTCAGGTCCAGATCCAAGTTTAGAACCATCCCTGATGAAAAAGGCTTCGAGTGCGACCTGATCTTTGCTTCTACAGCGCAGAGTGACATCACTTCCTGCCATCACAGGAAGTGCAGGAATCTCTAGAATAACATGAGAATCTGAAAAAGAAGAAAACAGAGTTAGTCCATCAGACCAGAACCATCTGTCCATCTTCAACACAACTCAGAGAGACGACTCTAAGACATTATCTCACAAAAGTTAGTGCACCCCTCACATCTCTGTAAATGTGTGATTCTATCTTTTCATGTGGCAACACTGAAAAAATTACCCTTTGCTACAGTGTAAAGTAGTGAGCGTGCAGCTTGTGTAACAGTGTAAAGTAGTGAGCGTGCAGCTTGTATAACAGTGTAAAGTAGTGAGCGTGCAGCTTGTATAACAGTGTAAAGTAGTGAGCGTGCAGCTTGTATAACAGTGTAAAGTAGTGAGCGTGCAGCTTGTATAACAGTGTAAAGTAATGAGCGTGCAGCTTGTATAACGGTGTAAAGTAGTGAGCGTGCAGCTTGTATAACAGTGTAAAGTAGTGAGCGTGCAGCTTGTATAACGGTGTAAAGTAGTGAGCGTGCAGCTTGTATAACAGTGTAAAGTAATGAGCGTACAGCTTGTATAACGGTGTAAAGTAGTGAGCGTGCAGCTTGTATAACGGTGTAAAGTAGTGAGCGTGCAGCTTGTATAACGGTGTAAAGTAGTGAGCGTGCAGCTTGTATAACAGTGTAAAGTAGTGAACGTGCAGCTTGTATAACAGTGTAAAGTAGTGAGCGTACAGCTTGTATAACGGTGTAAAGTAGTGAGCGTGCAGCTTGTATAACGGTGTAAAGTAGTGAGCGTGCAGCTTGTATAACAGTGTAAAGTAGTGAGCGTGCAGCTTGTATAACAGTGTAAAGTAGTGAGCGTGCAGCTTGTATAACAGTGTAAAGTAGTGAGCGTACAGCTTGTATAACAATGTAAAGTAGTGAGCGTGCAGCTTGTATAACGGTGTAAAGTAGTGAGCGTGCAGCTTGTATAACAGTGTAAAGTAGTGAGCGTGCAGCTTGTATAACAGTGTAAAGTAGTGAGCGTGCAGCTTGTATAACGGTGTAAAGTAGTGAGCGTGCAGCTTGTATAACAGTGTAAAGTAGTGAGCGTGCAGCTTGTATAACAGTGTAAAGTAGTGAGCGTGCAGCTTGTATAACGGTGTAAAGTAGTGAGCGTGCAGCTTGTATAACGGTGTAAAGTAGTGAGCGTGCAGCTTGTATAACGGTGTAAAGTAGTGAGCGTGCAGCTTGTATAACAGTGTAAAGTAGTGAGCGTGCAGCTTGTATAACGGTGTAAAGTAGTGAGCGTGCAGCTTGTATAACGGTGTAAAGTAGTGAGCGTGCAGCTTGTATAACAGTGTAAAGTAGTGAGCGTGCAGCTTGTATAACAGTGTAAAGTAGTGAGCGTGCAGCTTGTATAACAGTGTAAAGTAGTGAGCGTACAGCTTGTATAACAATGTAAAGTAGTGAGCGTACAGCTTGTATAACAGTGTAAAGTAGTGAGCGTGCAGCTTGTATAACAGTGTAAAGTAGTGAGCGTGCAGCTTGTATAACAGTGTAAAGTAGTGAGCGTGCAGCTTGTATAACAGTGTAAAGTAGTGAGCGTACAGCTTGTATAACAGTGTAAAGTAGTGAGCGTGCAGCTTGTATAACAGTGTAAAGTAGTGAGCGTTAGTAATTAGTAACAGTGTAAAGTAGTGAGCGGACAGCTTGTATAACGGTATAAATCTGCTGTCCCCTCAAAATAACACATCACACAGCCATTAATGTCTAAACTGCTGGTAACAAAAGTGAGGACACCCCTCAGTGAAAATGTCCAAATTGGGCCCAAAGTGTCAATATTTTGTGTGGTCACCATTATTTTCCAGCACTGCCTTAACCCTCTTGGGAATGGAGTTAACCAGAGCTTCACAGGTTGCCACTGGAGTCATATTCCACTCCTCCATGACGGAGTTGGTGGATGTTAGAGACCTTGCGCTCCTCCACCTTCAGTTTGAGGATGCCTAACAGATGCTCAGTAGGGTTCAGGTCTGGAGACATGCTCGGCCGGTCCATCACCTTTACCCTCAGCTTCTTTAGCGAGGCAGTGGTCGTCTCGGAGGTGTGTTTGGGGTCGTTATCATGTTGGAATACTGCCCTGCGGCCCAGTCATTTACATTGTAGCTAAATGTCATTTCTTCAGTGTTGTCACATGAAAAGATTTAATCAGATATTTACAAAATGTGAGGGGTGGACTCACTTTTGTGAGATACTGTATAAAGAACTGAGGACAGTTTGGACAGAGAGTCAGTGATTGTTTTCTCTTCCATCAGCTCACCTGCAGAATCAGTCAGTCCAGACAGCAGCAGCACAGACACACCTGCAACAGGAAGACAGGAGTCACTGAAGGTCAGGGGTCACTGAAGGTCAGAGGTCACTGAAGGTCAGGGGTCACTGAAGGTCAGAGGTCACTGAAGGTCAGGGGTCACTGAAGGCCAGAGGTCACAAAGTGTCCAATAAAATGAGCATCAAAAACTTTAAATTTATTCCATCAACTGTGAAATCAAGAACATTTCTTTTTAAACTCCATTTTACTGACTAACATATTGTTAATCATTGTATTATAGTTATGTTTTACCTCCTGTTGTTTCATCATCCAGCCTGTATGAAAGAAGTGGACAATCCCCTGCTTCCTGGTCTCTGTTCCTCCAAATGGGACCATAATTTACTAAATGAACATCATGCTGTGTTGAAGAAGACTTGAAACTAGCGACTGAGACCATAAACTCATCAGGAAAGTGTTTACTGAGGGAATAAATCAGCTGACAAGTAGAAACATTTTCTCACAGATGTCTATACAGTCACACTTCTTTCTGCAGCCGGAGGAGTCGCCCCCTGCTGGCTGCTAGAGAGGACGCAGGTTTAAGGCTTCACTTTTCAGACCCAGAGATTCTTTAAAGAACCACTGAGTATCTGGGCAGCTCCTGCACGTTGGCCCGCAGTGGAATGTGAACACGGACCAGAATGAAAGATGAGATCTCACGGGGGGAGCAGAAAGGTTAAAGCTGAGGAAGAAAGGAGTCCAGGTCAGGTGGGAATCTCTGTCACATCATTAAAAACAGATTCCCCCACCTTTTGTTTTGATGGAAAGTTCGGTGTCTCGATCTGCTCTGAGAGCTCTGTGAGTCCGTTATCGATCCACACAGCCAAGGCCGGTATTTATGAAACTTCTCAAAGAGCCATTTTAGTCTGAAGTGCTGAGAATTCATGACATTTACTCCTACGTTCAAACTTAAGTATAAAAGCAAGTTATCAAATGTCTTCAAGCTAAGAATCACTCTTACTCTGCCAGTTATTTAAGAAGCTCCAGAGGTCTCTCAGTGGTTAGGAGCTGCCAGTAGGGGCTTGAGATGGCGCTGTGGAGACATGCGGGAATCTTTCAGGACAGTAAGAATGTTTCTGAATTATTTGACGATGAGCAGTGAATCCCTGCATCATACAGCTCAATGACTACTCCTTCTTTCCACAACATATCATAAGCCTTCTCTATATCAAAAAACACACCTGCCATCACCTCTTTATTTACTAGGGCTTTCTTGTTGTCGTCGTCAAACATTAAAACTGAATCCACTTTTCTAATCTATGTACCAACCTGTCAGTCACCATCATCTCTGTAATCTTACAAATGACAGCTGTGAGTGCAATTGGCCTATATGATCCAGCACTTTCAGCTTCCTCACCGGGTTTTAAAATCACTGCGTGTTTCCATTCAGCTGGAATCGATCCTTCCTCCCACACTGATCAATGCCAATACCTCCTCCAATGCAAAGTCATCCATATGCTGAAGATCTCACATCCCTACCTCTCTCTCCCAGGAGTAGTGTGTCGCCCTCGTCGTATTGCCCTCGTTAGTTCGTGGATGAACAAGAACATTTTGATTACATCACTATTGTCATTATTCCTATCAAGTTTGTGCCCTTCCTGCTCAAGCATTAGCTCCCTCCTAATCAGACCACTGTGCATCGCAGGTCATCTGCGAAGCTGCCTAAAAGCTCTATTTCGAACCCTCACAGCCGCAACACAAGCCTGGTTCCTGGCTTTTTCTGTTGCTTTTCTCACAACTCCACAAAAAGAATTACTCCACTCCTCAGTGCTACCTCGACTCACTACATCTCCTAAACTTGCTTCCAACTGAATTTATCCCAATCTGCTTTAAGAAAATGGAACCCCCTCAGCACTCTCTCCTTCTCCACCTGTAAAACACTGCTACCTAAAATGGGGAAGTCATCACTCCCTAAAGTGTTAAGTTCCATAGTATCCAAATTCCCATACCTAGCGGTAGGTTAATAAATCTAACGTAAACAAGCTCCCACCGTTCACCTGAAAGCTAGTCGATCGTCATCATTTAACACCACCAAATTATATTTATCTAAAAAAACTTCTATTAAAACCCCAATACCATCTCTAATTCTGCTGCCTCCCAGAGGATTATGAGCATTAAAATCTCCTGCCCACACCGCTGGAGGTCTCACCTGCTCCATTATTCCATCTAACTTAACTATTTCCAGCTGAAGACAAGGATTATAGAAATTAACCAATGAGAACCTTCCTGCTGTGCTCCATACCTCAATCACTACACATTCAAGCTGATGTTACATTTACTTGCCTATATTGAACACCTTTTTTAACAAATATTGCTTATTGCTTAGGCTGGCCACAATAAAAGGCCTTGGGCTGGCCACAATCAGAGGCCTTAGGCTGGCCACAATAAAAGGCCACTGGAAAATCTGCAGTTCCATCACACAGCACAATGCCACAGATGTCTCAAGTATTGAGGGAGCGTGCAGTTGGCATGCTGACTGCAGGAATTTCCACCAGAGCAGTTGCCCATGAAATGAATGTTCTTTCTCTCCCATAAGCTGTCTCCAAAGGCGTTTCAGAGAATTTGGCATCACATCCAATCGGCCTCACAACCGCAGACCATTTGTAACCACACCAGCCCAGGACCTCCACATCCAGCATCTTCACCTCCAAGATGGTCTGAGACCAGCCACCCGGACAGCTGCTGCAACAATCGGTTTGCATAACCAAAGAATTTCTGCACAAACTGTCAGGAACCGTCTCAGGGAAGCTCATCTGCATGCTCGTCGTCCTCATCGGGGACCTGACTGCAACTTCGCACAGCCATTGAAGAGGAGTGGAGCAACATTTCACAGGCCACAATCAACAACCTATGAGAAGGAGATGTGTTGGACTGCGTGAGGCAAAAGGTGGTCACACCAGATACTGACTGGTTTCTGGACCCCCCCCGGACGACCCATTACAGTAAACTTTTTTGAGGGGCCTTTTATTGTGGCCAGCCTAAGGCCTTTTATTGTGGCCAGCCTAAGGCACACCTGTGCAATACCCATGCTGTCTGATCAACATCTTGATATGCCACACCTGTGAGGTGGATGGATTATCTCGGCAAAGGAGAAGTGCTCACTAACACAGATTCTGACAGATTTGTGAACAATATTTGAGAGAAACAGGCATTTTGTGTACATGGAGAAAGTCTTAGATCTTTGAGTTCAGCTCATGATGAATGGGGGCAAAAACAAAAGGGTTGCATTTATAGTTTTGTTCAGTGTAGTTAGCGATTTAAGGTTAATGCTACGAAGCTAACGCAGCTAATGCTAATACAAAACTTGCTTAAGTTACGCAACCTTCATAACTTTATTAAAAGCTAAATGAATATTGTTTCACAAGGGAACCGAATGCCAGTCTCCTGGGTGACAGCTAGTGACAGTTTAGCACTCATAATATTCTGGGAAGAAGCACTTTTGATTTATTCACACTCAAATGACAAAGCTCATAGTAATAATTAGTCATTCTTCTGCACCCTGTTTTGTGCTTCTGTAGATGATTCATTGTAATTTATTAATGTAGCTGGTAGAGCCACGAGAGACAGACATCACGGTGCTTCAAAGTGATGCCTTTACGCTCTTCACAATGACATCTATCGGTGTAAAAACACAATAAAAATAAATAAAATTTTCATTTCATTAAGTTAATGGGCTTTCTACCATTTGCTTAGCTAGTTCCTCCCTTCCATATAGCTCATAGAGGGCCAGGGAGTCTTGACGGGTGTGGTTGTTTTGGGGGCTCTGCTCTCTGCCTCTGGCTTTACATGAATGCACATGGATGGATTTTCCACGTAGGTACGTGGAAGGGCAGGGAGGTGCTCTCCCAGAACAGAGCCATACCACCAAACATAACTACAGTGCAATATAAGTCTGATGAAGTTGTTCTGACTGAAGTCAAGCATAGAGTTAGTTCAGGCAGGCAACTAAGTCAAGCTCAGCTCACAATCCCAGCACATCAGCTGATAGCAGCCATCTTAAGTCAACCACATCAGCTCAGATGATCTTAGCGTTCATTGGCATATTCTGCATATTCCATGGTGGATCTCTCACAGTGGTAATCGAACGCAGGTCTCCCACACCAAAGGCAAGCATTTTATCTATGCAGCTTATTTAAGCTGCATAGTTGGAAGTTGGAAAGAAATATTCTTTGTAAACGTATTTGTATTCTTTGCACGGCACACTTCCCTCTCCTCAGTGTTTCACTGTGTGGACAAATGTGAGAGCACCTTTGAAGAGAACCTCCAATAATTCCACAACTGACAAAAGAAAAGTGGGAAACGAATCCTCTGCAGTGGTTCCTCTGATGTTCATGAGCTCTTCTCTGGGTAAAGAGCTCCGGGTTCCACAGAAAACAGTGTTCTCCAGTGTTCAGTGTTTCAGGAATCAGCAGTTTCTCTCAGTAACATCAGTGTTTTTCTGATTCTTCATCTGGTTTGGTGAAACGGTCTGGGTATCACCAGATAATCTGCTCATTTGTAATTCAAAAATGAAAAGAAAAAAACCCTAAATCTGTTATTTGGTTCAAAACAAAAAACAAAACTGTTTTTGGTAAGAAAAACGAACTAACGCGTTTACACAGACCTCTTTATTCTTGATTTCAAAAAGGAATAATGATTAAACATGTTTCTGATTGTTTTTTAATTTTTCTGATTCTGACACCAAAATCATCGTTTTGGTTTTTGAATTACAAATGAATAACAGATTATCCAGTGAACGAAAATAACAACCACGGAAATGTCACAGTTAGAGAGGAAGTGACCCAGATAGGATCAGAATGTGTTTTTTCTGCTGAGTTTTCCTGTTTGAAGAGACGTTTCAGTAGTGCAGACAAAACTTCATCACAGCCACGAGCTGTCTGAGGCAGCTGCACCGTATATACAAATATATATTTTAGTCATTACTGTACACATGCCTACCACAGAATTTTAAAAATTTATTTATTTATTTACTTCTGCACTATTTTATGTCTTTATGTTTTTTGATATTTTGCTGCTAAACTTATTTTTGGAGCTTTGCTGGAGGACTGTCAGAATTAATATGCCAATTTTATTGATGCTAATAACTGTAATACTAATTAACATCAGTTGCAGCGTCAATTTGCAGTTAGTGATTATATAATGTTACTTGAAAAAACAGCTGAACCACAGCATGAGTGTGAAAATGTTTTTCAGACTCACTTCTGATATCTTCACTTCACACCTTCATCTGAGTTTAACCACATTCTCAACACAACATCAGGACTCTGAGCTTAACAATGCAACACAACACCAGTACTGTTATTATGTGAGACCACACAACGCTGTTGGAGGAGCCTGAGAATTAAGAACTTCATCACCGACGACCGCTTCACTGTAACTGTTGTTCAATAAAGGAGCTGAAGCTGAACATTTAGGGCCCGATGAGACGAGGCTGAACGTACTGAATATCCTCGATTTGACCTTAACCTCATTAATGATCAGAAATGCAGTGAAAGTCATTGGCAGTTGTTATCAGCTGCTGATCAGTGAGCCTGTTCCCTGTCAAACAAACTGATCAAAACACAGAAAGCTTCTTTATCACTTGAGATGTCCTCGTGGCTTCATGGTGGAAGAAATGAACCATGTGACTGCAGCGTTCAGCAAAAAGCTTTTTCTATCACTTCTATTAAAGAGGAAAACATTCCAATAGTTTCATCTTGAATCATTTTGTAGTTCAGAAGTTAAAAGAAGACAAACACGTTTCACAGTTAAACCTCAGATGTGTCAAAGTCATGTGACAGCAGTCTGACAGTGAGGAGAGTCCAGGTCTCAGTCTGGATCAGGTCTCAGACTCAGTTCTGGTTCCTCTGTATGAGTGCAGACTCTGAAGTGTGTTGGAGCTGTGATGGATGGATGGATGGATGGATGGATGGATGGATGGATGGATGGATGGATGGATGGATGGATGGATGGATGGATGGATGGATGGATGGATGGATGGATGGATGGATGGATGGATGTGTTGGACTCACCGAGCAGCAGAGACACAGATGAAGCCTTCATGTTGTCTGGATGTCGACTGTCAGTCAGTCTGAACAGCAGAGTGACGCCTTCAGCTTCACTTCCTCTTTAACAGTCCGTGCAGCATCGGCTTCAGTCGACACCACAGAAAATGACGTGGCTGATTTGCATCACATGTCAGAGCAGCAGCCTCCCTTCCACTGATGGTTGATGATGGGTTTGATGGTCGGGTGCAGAGTGTAGCTCAGGATAACATCCCCAACACCTGTAGAGAGAAACTCTGGGACATTTGAAAGACAAAGCAACAAAAGGTCGAGACAGATGGCAGATAAAAGTTCAGACTGGTTCACCCGGTTAGCGCCGCCACCATGTTCAGAGTCCTCTCTCTCTGGAGAAAAACGATGGATCACATCAGCACAGTTCTGCCACAGAAGGCGACCTGTGATCGCTGAAACATTAAAACATCTTCTTGATCATCAGGTTCCTACAGAAGGAGGAGAATTACCAGTTTATTTAACAAGGACCAACAGATAAACACGCTTACATCAGTGTTTTGTCATAAACCTTTGTATTAAACTGAAATTCATAATTCACCCTTTGCTGGTCTTGTTTTCAGACTTCCTGCTGCTGTATTTCCTGCTAGCTGCTAATTTTAGCTACACTTTGGGCCTTTCCGAAACTGCTTGCTCCTCCCTCTCCCTACCTACTTCCACTCCGTTTGCGCGTTCATGCAGAGGGTCTGCCACATTGAGTGTCATCCGAAACCACTGAGGGCGGAGTGGTAATGTGTTGTTAAACCCTCAAATCCCGAGCGAGCACCGATGCCGGCTTGTTGAAGGCATGTAACACCCTTTGCTGCATGATGGTGGACTTTCTTTCAAATGTGAGTTAACGTGTAGAATTTTTAAAATCCAAAGCTACAGGATAACAACGAAGCCCAGAGGTTATATTGTGTGTAATAAAAAATGCTCTTGACTGATAAACAATAGTATTTATTGCATCGTATTCATCTTACATGGTAATCTTCAGCCAAATTGAATGACAAATGCTTTCAGTTTTGTTGTGGCAAAAAACACACTTTTACTCAACATCAATTCTGAACCTAAATACAAATGCTGTTCATTTGATTCACATGTAACTGTTGTGGTGGCAGCCCGGCTGCCGGTGAGCGTCCTGGTTTTTTCTCCTTTTTATCAGTTATTCTGCTTTTTTCCTTGGTTTTCTGTTCCCTGCCTGCCTCCCTGTGTTTTCTCCCCTGTGTGCTCTCTCTCTCTCTCTCTCTCTCTCTCTCTCTCGCTCTCTCCCCCTCTCTCTCTCTCCCCCTCTCTCTCTCTCTCTCTCTCTCTCTCTCTCTCTCTCTCTCTCTCTCCCTCTGCTCCTGAGCCCAGCCAACTACCTGCACCTGCATCCCATCAGCCACCTCGTCATCCTGCCACACCTGCCAGTAATCACCTCATGCCTGCCTGTATTTCAACGCCGGTTCTCCACAACATCCTCGCTTGATCGTCGTTGCTCCATACCCGGTGCCACCTCCAAGTTCAGGCTCTCATGTTTGTAGTTTTTTCCCCCTGTGCCTTGTCGTTCATCCCTAACCCTGTCTCTCTGTCTGTTTCCCTCCCAGGTTCACTCACCCTCGTCCTCCGTTCAGTCGGCTGGGCTCATCCACCGGCCCTATCCACCTCAGACTTCCCCCACGGCGTCCTCCCTGTTCTCCCACCGCTCCTCGCTTCCTCGGCCCCAGTGTTCCCCGGCTCCCTGGCCCCCAGTCTTCCTGGTTCCCCGTGCCTGTGTTTCCCTGACATCCACCTCTCCCTCCACTCCTCTCCCTCTCCCCCTTTATCCCTCAATAAACCTCCTTCCCTCAGAGTGCTGCTTTTTTAACAATTACAGCCTATTTACACTGGGGGGAGAGGGGAGTTCGTCCGAAAGTTGGCCGCTGTATTTAAACCCTGCGCAGGTTAGGGAGCTTGATTTGGCTGTGAGGCAGACTGCGACCAGAATTCACTCCGTGTCGGAGTGGAAGTGGCGAGGGTCTAGTTTTGGGAAAGGACCTTTGTCTCTGCAGACCTTTCAGTGAGCATCTGTAGTGAGAGCAGCCTGAACTCAGTGGTGAGTTTATCTGAGATCACAAAGCTCTGAAGAGAATTAATGTGGCCGAGTGATGCTGGATAAAAACACTGAAGAGGTGACAGAACACTGAGTGGTGACCGATATATGCTCGGCCTGTTATTACAGAGAAGGAGCAATTCTACGACATTTACAGGTAATGAAACAGGAATGGGGGACGTGAGAGTTACTTAACACTGTAGTGATGTACAGATGTACTCCAGGACACTGACACTGTTGACACTGCCTAACTACTACATTAAAAAACAATATCCAGGTCCATTAAAACAGATCAATAATATGACATGAAACTTTAAAAGAGTACTCCCCCTTAACAGTCGGCATTTTGGCTACATAGCTGACAGGCTACAGTTTGGGGGCCCCACAAACATTTTTTCAAACTTGTGAAAATGGCAGCAGAGGAAGCTGCAGGGCTGATATTTTGGCATGTAACTGTGGTCAAACGATGGCGAAAATGATCGTCTGGTTTTTGCTGTTTTTTGGAAGAAGACATTAAAAAGAAGAAGCGGTCAAATGTTGCAAATGATATTTCCAGTACGTGCACCTCATTCGTGATTGGACTGCTTGTGTAATGAATGATGCTGACACATTGTGTATACGCTATACTAAAATTAATTGTAGTATTTGGTGATCCACTTGCATGCAATTTCATATGTACTATTGGCCAGTTTGACCATCTAGTGGTTGTAAGGTTCTTTATATTTCTGTAATTATTATTGCTTTTTTGTCCCTCATCCAAAGGACTTCTTCAGTTCTGACTGACTGGCAGGGAAACTCAGCTATTTAACCTCAGTGGGGTCGTTATCCCGGGTCATCGATACCGCTGGTTCGTTAGTGTTCCTTGTTGCTGTGACGACAGTTGTTAGGACTACCCGAGGGGGTCTACGCCACCACTTATCCCCTACTTACAATGCTGTCCTTTCATCACTTCCCAGGAAACTCAACAAACGTAACCTATTGGCCTCAGGTGAAGATACCAACGATGGTCGTTCAGTCTTGGCCACAGGTAGTCTTAACGACCGTAACGACTGTCGTCACAGCAACAAGGAACACTAACGAACCAGCGTATCGATGACCCGGGCCAACGACCCCACTGAGGTTAAATAGCTGAGTTTCCCTGCCAGTCAGTCAGAACTGAAGAAGTCCTTTGGATGAGGGACGAAACGTCTTCCAGTATCTTCAACCAAGTCCAGTTGCCCTTGATTTTAACCTTCGTTGGAGAACTTTGACCTGGATGACTGAGAATCTTCACAGACATAATGAGAAGCTACTTCCTGAGTTGTGTGTGTTGATTGTCTGTGAGTCTGTTGGCATGGCTTCCATTCCTCTCTCTCTCCTGGCTGCACAGCATCCACACCTGGTCTTCATCACCCAATCATCCTGCCCAGTCTACTCACCTGCCTCTCACCCCCCCACCTGCCTGAGTATATGTCCTCCATTCAGTCACAGCTTGCTCTGTCTGACTTTGCTCTTGTGTGTTTCACGCTTCCCTCCATTCCCCTCTGCCCACGCCAGCTTCACTGCCAGCTTCAGATCTACAACCCTGGCTTCCACTCCCCTGTTCTGAATAAAGACTTTATTCTTCACTAACCTCTGACTGAGTCCTGTCTGACAAAACGGAACAGAACAATCTGACCACCATGGACTCAGTGGACTCCGCCCCCTGGACTGGTATTCAGTGGATGTGGGTACCTGTAGAGCTTTACTGATGCAGTGTAGACTAGCTTTTGATCAGCGACCGCTCACTACCATTATTGGGTTGTTAAAGAGCAATGCATTAGAATGTACTACAGCTGTTAGGGAGAGCCGGTCTAGCCTTAATTTGTAATTTAATGATTTTGTATCTGAAATGAAGAAGGTGCTTGATGAGGAAGAAAGGCGACCCAAAGCCTTCTGTCACTCTGGCAGGGAATTTGTAGTGTTTGCTGAATATTCAGAGTTCAGGAATGTAGTGGCAGATTCAGGATGCAACAATGAGTCTTATTGCAGCATGAGTGTGAAAATATTTCTCTGACTCACTTCTGCTTTTCAAGTCTTGCACGCCTTCATCTGGTTTTAACCACATTCTCACCCTCAACACAACATCAGGACTCTGAGCTTAACAATGCAACACAACAACAGTAATTTTATTTTGAGACCACGCAACACAAGGGAATTTGTAGTGTTTGCTGAATATTCAGTGGCGTTCAGGACTGTAGTGGCAGATTCAGGGTGTAATAATTTACAGAAGGGGTTTCCAAGTGGTTTTAGTAAACACAAAAGGGACGAGTTAGTGGCCCGAGACGATCCAGCCAGTCTCAATATTTTCATTTCCCTAGTCATCCCAACTAGGCTGCTTAAAGAAGTATTACCCAAAGTCGGCACTTCTTTGCTAGATCTGATCAATCTGTCTTTATTAACAGACTACTTACCACAGTCCTTTAAAGTCGCCGTATGGTAACACTTTCTATGAAGGTCATCGCTATAATGACTTATGCATATATTTGTAACACGGTATAATGCGTCCATAAGACATTATAACAGCTGTTATAATCATTTACAAACATGCATTAGGCTCTATAGCAAAGTTCATAACGTATTATGACCTTTTGATTTAATGTTTTATAACTAATAGTAATACCAGTTGCGGCAAGAATCTCCGACTGTGTTCCATAACACATTATAACCACCGACTCTGCCTCGTTATGATACACTTTAGTCACCATTTAAGATTAGTGATATAAAATGGAATAATAGCTTATAGTAATGTTTAAAGTTATATAGCATGTTTGCTTTAAGTAAAGAGTTAAAATATCTATCCCTGTATAATATATTACAGGTGGACATGATACCATATGAACTAATTATAAGACCTTATAACACGTAATTGTTTGCTTTAAGTAAAGTGACACACATTTGGGGCAGGAAAACAACTTTTATTTATGTTTCTTCACTTCATGAACAATCTGTATGAATTTTGAACATTATGCAGTTTAGCACAAAAACACAACATAATTACATCAAGGACACTCATTGTCAGGGTGGTGAGAGATC